TGCTTTTTTGATAAAGGAATCCATGTTGAAGAAAGATTAAAATCTTAAATAATTAAGAGGGTCGCAAGCGCCATCATTTTTGGAGTTTATAGTAAATAAAGAGGATTTTCTTTGCTAGAGCAAAATCGGAATTACCTTTTATGAATTGTGGAAATTCCGGAGGTAGTGATAAGTAAGTTCGACCTTCCTGAGTAATTCTCACCTTTGCTTCCTCAACAGTCTCTCTATCCAGTGGGGTTTGGTGTATCTCTTAGAGATTTTTATTAGATCTATAGCTCTTTTATACTCCACCGGTCCTTAATTTTAGTCCTAAATATAAGACCAATTTCTCATATTTATCAATTTTCTCTAAATTACCCTTATGGATACTTCCTCAACCATAATCAAGTAGAAGAGGGAGAAGGGGTATTAAGAAAGATGATTATAGTGTTTTAAGAAAAATGTTGCACTTTCTTATAATTAACTAACATACCTAACTTCTTTAATTTAATCAAATTAGTTAAATGAGTCTTGTATTAAGGACCGAAGGAGTATAAAACTGTCAGAGTAACGGTAGACGTTATGGAACATTTAAGGGATGATTCGGTGACCCCTACAGCTACTCTTGGAAATAAGGTAATGTGGGTTCGTACTCACATTCCCTCCTGGTCCCTATATAAGGATATTTAATTAGGTCTAGACCTTTTAGAGAGAGTTTTACATATGATGGGTTTGGAATATTAATAAGGAACTCCATAAATATCCTATGAATAGTTAAAACTGGCCTGGTGGGATGCTTTGTTAAAAAAGAATCCATATTAAAAAACAACCAAAATTTCAAATAAGCAAGAGGGTCGCACGTGTTATCGTTGTTGGAGTCTATAGTTAAAAAAAAGAGGGTTTTCTCTGCTAAGGAAAAATCAGGGCAACCTTTTGTGAATTATGAGAATTTTAGAGGCGGTGATAAGTGAGTTTGACCTTGCTGAGTAATTTTCACCTCTGCTTTCTCAACAATCCCTCTATCCAGTAAAGTTTTGGGTATCTCTTAGAGATCTTTTATCAGCTCTGTAACTCTTTTATATAAAACTATCATAGAGCAATGGTAGACGTTTTGGAACATTCAAGGGGCGATTGGATGACCCTTAAGACTACTCTTGCAAGTCAGGTAACATGGCTTCTTACTCACTTCCCCTTCTAATCCTTCTATGAGGATATTTAACTAAGTCTAGACTTTTTAGGGATAGTTTTAGATACCATGGATTTGGAATATTTATAAGGAACTCTGTATAAGTCCTACAAAAAGTTAAAACTGGCATGGTAGGATGCTTTTTGATAAAGGAATCCATGTTGAAGAAAGACCAAAATTTTAAATAATTAGGAGGGTCAAACGCGCTATCATTTTTGGAGTTTGTAGTAAATAAAGAGGGTTTTTTCTGCTAAAGCAAAATCAAAGCAATCTTTTGTGAATTATGGGAATTTCAGAGGCAGTGATAAGTGAGTTCGACCTTCCTGAGTAATTCTTACTTCTGCTTTCTCAACAGCCTCTCTACCCAGTAGGGTTTTGTGTATCTCTTAGAGATCTTTTATCAGTTCTGTAACTTTTTTATATAAAATTGTCATAGTGTAACGGTAGATGTTGTGGAACATTCAAGGGATGATTCAGTGACCTCTACGAATACTCTTGGAAATAAAGTAACATGGGTTCTTGCTCTCTTTACCTTTGAATCCCTCTATGAGGATATTTAATTAAGTCCAAATCTTTTAGAGATAGTTTTACATACCATGGGTTTGGATATTAATAAGGAACTCTGTAAAAATCCTATGAAAATTTAAAACTAGCCTGGTGGTATGCTTTGTGAAAAAAGAATCCATGTTAAAGAATGACCAATATTTCAAATAAGCAGGAGGGTTAGACGTACCATCATTTTTGGAGTTTATAGTAAAACGAGAGTTTTCTGTGCTGGGTCAGAGCAACCTTTTGTGAATAATGAGAATTTCAGAGGCAATGGTAAGTGAGTTTGACCTTACTGAGTAATTCTCACCTCTGCTTTCTCAACAATCTCTCTATCTAATGGGATTTTGGGTATCTCTTAGAGATCTTTTATTAGTTTTGTAACTCTTTTATATAAAACTGTCATGGAGTAACGTAACGGTAGACATTGGGGAACGTTCAAGGGATGATTCGGTGATACGACTTTACTTGGAAATCAGGTAACGTAGGTTCTTACTCTCTTCCCCTCCTAGTCCCTCAATGAGCATATTTAATTAAGTCTAGACCTTTTAGAGATAGTTTTAGATACCATGGATTTGAAATATTGATAAGGAACTCTGTAGAAACCTTACAAAAAGCTAAAACTGGCTGGTAGGATGCTTTGTGAAAAAGGAATCCATGTTGAAAAATCTAGGATTGGATAGAAACCTAAAAGGATGGATTCTTGGGATTGTTTTCATATTTTTAGAGGGTTGTGCTGTTCTTCGTGGCAAAAGACTGGGTGCACCATGGCGAAGGACCTCGTTGGTCACAACGAAGGACCCAGATTTGCTATATTTTTCCTTGCTTGTGTTTTTATTAGTGACTCGGACTATCTAAATGTATATTAAGCTTTGATTATAAAACTTTATAATTGCTTAGTTTCACGATATATGGTTATATATTTGATATGATGGATACCAAGAATTTGGTATAGGTGTTTATGCACCTGGGATGCAGCTAAGGATTATGAAATGACATAATGCAAATGTGATGTGAATATCATTTTGGGGAGGTGATCTATCGAAGACCGAATCCTTGCTCATGTGGTTTGCCTCCATAGTGCGCCCTATGGTTAGCCTCTTGAGAGGGCATCACACCTTCTTTTGTGACACTCTAGAGTTATCTCAAGGCAGTAGACCCTGAGGATAGCATACCTCATAGGATATTGCATGGTAAACCCACTGGGGTAGCATGCCAACTTTTCTTGGGAAACCATGGCTTGTGTGTACTCTACCAACTTAGGCTGGTCCATGCCACATGTGTAGGAAGCTTGTAAGAGTCACTAGTGACATAGTTAGGATTGAGCCCATGGGTTCAAGTCAATAATTATAAGAAAGATATAAGGCGAAAATTGAATTGCTAATGTTTAATGAATATTGGTCTTGTCTTGCTTCTTGTGAAATTGTAGTATCTGTCTCTTGGTATGTGTCTATGACATTATAATTTTGTTTTAACTATTAGTCACACCTAACACCTCATAGAGGTGCTAATAGGTGGGTAAGTAGGAGTTTACATTATTGAGACATTAGTCTCACCCTGTTACTCTTTTACAGGTGAGAGTAGCAAGGAGCACGGTGGGGAAGAAATTGGAAGGGTGAGGCCACTCGCTCGGTGACTGCATTTCATTTTCTTTCGTTCATGTTTAGTTGATTATCTACTTGCCACCTAAGTTTGAGCATTCATTCATTATTGGATTGTGTTAAATAATTTATGTGGACTGTTGATTTTGGGACTATAATGTTTTTTCTGGACTTGAGTTTCCTTTTGAGAAGCTTAAGGGCCATGGGGTCATATTCTGAATGTTGTTGTTATCCTCAATGAATAAGTGGACCCAGTAGTTGTATTATTACTATCATTATTTTTTGCTATGAATTGTATAAATCAGGTACATAGGGGGCTCCTTATAACCATGTTAGGGGTGAATCCTTTCTCACATGGTTATGCATGCAAAGTAAGTTTGGTTCCTTTATAACCATGATATGTCTTGGTGGTAAGACCTTGTTCCTTTTTATATAATGGTTATCCCTAAATAGATGGCATTCTTGGGTTGTTTCTTCGATTTGCCATGGTAACTGAGTAAAAAAGTTGAAATTTTGATAAGCATAGTGGAAGAATTGAAGTTAGGGCGTTACGCGAAATACTTTGAGGTATTGCATATATCAAAAATTAGTTTAGGATAACCACTGCTATTGAAAAAATACCTTGGGATTTTAGATGTATCAAAAATTAACTCAGAATACTAAATATTTTTGGAAATATACGCAACTTAATTCAAAAAATGTGACTTTTCAATTATGTCCTTTACTAACATTAATGGGCACAATAAAGTGTATTTTGAATTTATGGCAACAACTTAACATAATTTAGGATAATATCATAAAAAATTAGCTACCACCTCTTTACATGCACGGCAAAATAGGACTTTAAAATTTTATGCTAATTGTCATTATTTTTTAGAATTAAAATTAATATACTAACATTTAAGAAATATTTTGTCAACATTTAAAATTTTAACGTCAACATATGCTATTAACTATGTCAGGATTAGAGGAATGAGAAAATATTTTATAAAATTAGGGGACTAAAATGAAATCTTATATTAAATTATTCAATAACTATAAGTGCACTTTTCTTTTACATTGTATTTCTAGTCTAGTTTCTTGTTCAACAACGTCACTTACTAATGTGAGAGAATGTTGGGCCCAAACCCATCGTTACGGGCATCGGTTGGATTACTTGGCGCGGTTACTTTACTGGGCTCAAAAAGAGCCACAACCGTTCTTCATAAAATTCATAATAACGTACACTTTTTCAAAAAGCAAAAAGAAACGAATTAACCCAACTTGGTTGGACCAATGGGGTTGTTGGGCGGAATAATTATTTCTGAAGGGATATCTACTGAGAAAAGTAGTAGATCTTTTTAATTAAAATATGTAAAATTGTGAGAGATGTTTAAAACTAGCTAAGCATATTGCTCCCCGCCCCCCGGGGAAATTGTTATAAAATTCCAAGACTACCGGTAGCTATGGATTTTTTGGCTCAAATTTAATCATATAACTCAGATTTATATCTTTATTTTGCAATTAAGCGACACGAGTTCACTACAATATGAGGGCAATAAAATGAATACTTGGGAGTAGGCAATGTTTCAAACTCCTTCAATTATTTAGGGGAAAAGAGGAAGTGTGCATATGGTTGTGATCATATATAGCAATATATAAGTACAAATTTTATTCAAGACTTTGAGAGTAATACAAGATTTTACAACCTACTTTTTAAACAAAGGGATGATAGAACATATTGTTTGGATAAAAGTGAGGAAAAGTAGGAGAACTGCAGCAGTAGAAGAAGCTTTTTTCCAGGGAGTGCTCCAATAATCACGCACAAAGATTGCTTTATGCTTGTGATAAGGTTTATTACAAAACTCATCTAACTCCGCATGTAAAGAGACATACCCACTATTGGCACTTGTTTCAATAAGATTCTTACGTAAACTGGTAAACATGGACGCCACCGCATCACCATCAAGAAAGCTCTCCATGATTCCCTTTTCAACCAGAATCTCAACGTCTTTCCCGGATTGGATGAGAAAATCCAAGAGGACAATGTAATCAGTCACGTAGTGCTTAGAAGGATAGTGACATTGCTCAAAAGCCACCACGTTTCTCAACAACTTCTCAATGATATTACTCACCCTCATACTTGGTATTCTTAGACTTCCGTCTGAAAATAGAACCTCAGTTAACTTTTTCCCTTCGTGAACTTGTAATTTGACTCCTGAGTCATGTAGTTGACTCGCACTGTGTGAACGCTTTGATGCTCTAAGTCTAATTCTTGGTGGTGGATTAGTTGGTAAGCAAAATGCCCTTAATATATCACACAGGTGTTCTACTTGGTATGGAATGGAAGACTTGTCAAATATTTTATCATATGTGGTATAGTATATGTTTCCTGAGAAATGTCCCACGAAAATAGGGATGGCAAGATCAAGAAATGAAAGCATACCATTGAATCCTGTGGGAAAAGTTTGGTGGTAGAGGTCTTCAAGAATAAAAAGTGGTAATTGATTTTCAATTAAAACCAGGTCTTGTAGTAGATCAGCCCTTGGCCATGGTTTATTAACAAGAAGGTCATCACTTGAAGGAAGGTCATCACCTGAAGGAAGGTCATCACCTGAAGGAAGGTCATCACCTGAAGGAAGGTCATCACTTGAAGATAGATCATCACTACGAGCAAGAAACAACTCAATGATGAAGCCAGCATCGGTTAAAATCATGCTTATGAATTTGTCGCTTTCCATCTGTATGGTCTCCGAATAACAACGTCGGATTTTATCTTCTGAGCTTTGTAGGAATTTAGCAAAATCATCAAATGACTTGCTCTCTTGAGTCCTCTCGAGAAATTTGTGGAGGTACCACAATTTTAAATGCTGCGTTGGTTCTAGTTTTCTGTTTCCATGGTGAAATGGGCCAATGGAAACTAAGTTAGGTGTGTAGTCTTCTTCATTCACCTTTCGAAGGCTTGGTGGTACTCTGTAGATGCAACATGATGCTGAGAGAGGCCCCACAGAACGTATAGTTTCTAACTTGGTTTTCAAGTTTGACAATGAACCACCCTCTTGCGTTTGACGCATCTGCAATACATTCAAGGTAGTTCGGATTCTTAAACTTGTAGAAAAACATGTAACTTTCCAATTCTTCCTTCATGAAAATTAATGTCCAAAATGAAGTACCCTATTAGAATCAAAAGCATATCAATTCCACAGATTAAAAACCAGACTCCTTGCTGGGTTTGGGTAGCTTCCAGAAAAGGAAGAGTCCAGCTGAGCCCTACAACAACATGCATGCGATAGTGCTCCCCATGCTAAGTCTATTCACACTTGTTATCCCCACAATTTTACCAAACCATCTAAACTTAATCGTGCCGAATTATATAATATTCACCCAATGTTATCATCGTTGGCAGTTAAATTTATTAGTTTATTTTTTCACTCACGAAAGTCGTTATATATAGAAGTTTATCCATTTGTTGCTTGAACTTATAATTCTGATCCACTAGTCCGATAGAGAGTTTTTACAGGATTGAAAGAGGAAAGAAAGCACAAAAATTTCAACAATAGCGAACCTAGTTTGATTGTAGAGATCATATTACAAGAAATACGAGAAAAGAGATAGCTAACCTTGATGTGGCTACGAAACTGAAGTGTAAAGATAGTCCTTAAACGTTATCCTTGCTTTATCCATTATTGACCTCCAACATCGTATTCTGCTTTATGCACCAATTTGATTAACTGCACTAATTAACCTTAATTCATTTACTGCGTGGTTTGTATTAAAAATTGCTTGAGCTAAACTTATGAATATGATGGTGAAGACAAAGCTATAGAATGGGCTAGGTGGTAACGCAAAATTTTAAAACGAGCATAAATTAGAAAAGAGATGACTAACCTGATGGTTTGATAGATGTTGAGGAAAATAAAGAATATATCTCAAGTCCACTTGTAAACTTGTCGACCAAGTGCTTTACCCCTTATGCTATGCATCACACACATATATATAGGTGCCAAGTCAATCTCAAGTCTTCGCTAATTAATTATGAGAGTCCTTCTTCATGCAAAATACACCCAACTTGACATGGGTTGTTCTTTGTTGGGTGGTTGCAACTTGTCATTACATGCATTTATTTTATGTCTGCAGGTACATATGTACGTATAAATATTATTATTACTGACCATACAATAAAAACAAGTAGACCCCATCCAACTAACAAGCTATTCCTACTGACTTTGAATTGAAGATGAAGCTACTCTACATCGATGTTTTTACCTCATCCCCTTAATATATATATATATATATATATATATATATATTTATAAGTTCTTATAAAAATTTCTTCAAATAATTAACACTTGTGGCATTAAATAGAGGGTGAAAATAAAGTAAGAGTTGATTTTACAGACCACATATAGATTTGTGGGATTTTCAAGATTAGGGCTTACAAACGTCTATTAAAGAGAGTATAAATTTTATAACATTTTAGAATATTGTATAGCCTCTTTTTTTTAAATAATAATTGCCACATTGAAAATACACACACATGGATTAATAAATTTCCTAAAATTTTTACAAAATATGGTTTGACAATATACCTTACTATTTTTTTGGCTAGAAGATACTCCTCTAGTCCTATTTATAAGGTAGGTAGAGAAAATTATTTTTGGTCTTACAATCCTATTTATAAGGCATCGCATCATTAAATTTTTCATGTAAATGTATAATTTTACCTTTTATTTATTATTGTGTAAACTTTGTTCTTATGGGATATTATGAGTATTAGATAAGGATAAAGTTAAAAAAATTGTTAAAGTTTAAGACATAATTAATGAGATTTAAGATTTTTTTTAACTCCAGTGAAATATGTTAGAAGTGACTTATAAATAGAATAAGAGGAGAGTACCTTACTATTATAATTTCTTGAAACTTTTTTTTTTTCTTTTGTGTGCCAGATATAACGTCTTAAAAAAATTTCAATGGATGCAATTAGCAGATAAGTACGTACTTAATATTTTCTTATAAACGTAGAGTAGTAAAAATTCTTTTGAAACAAAACCAAACAGCGGCTATTGTTACTTTTAGACGGGAAAATTAATCACTTGGTCTTTATAATTTTAACTTATTTGTAATTTAGTTCTTAAATTTTTAACTTGGTGTAACTCAGGCTCACTTGGTTGTAACTCAGTCCTTAAGCTTTGATTTGATGCAATTCAATCCTTATAGTTTAACAATTTAAAAATTAGTCCCTGTATTTTAGAAAATAAAATTAAGAAAAATTAATATTTTATCTTTATACTTTCATTCAATTTGTAATTCAGTCCCCACAGTTCATATCCTTTTAACTATGAACAATACTCACATCAAGCTTCTTATATTCATTACCACTCTAGTCCTCATTATTTGTGACTTGTAGGAGGAGATTTTGGTCATTTTTATTAACTACTTGTACCCTTTTTAATGTTTCATTTTTAATTTTGCCCCTATTGATTATAATAAAAAATTAATTAACTCAGATAGTTTTTCCCAATATCCATCTCTTTAACAAGGACAAAAGTGAAAGATTTCATCTATTTAACGCTTTTTTTTTTATATATGCGAGAAACTCCCACAAGTGACAAATAATAAGGACCAGATCCATGCATTTATTTATTTTGAAAAAGGGGCTTATTATTTTTTGGAAAAAAAATACCGCTTCCATCTTTTTTATAAGCCATTTGCAGGGAATTTAATGATCATTTTCTAATTTTATCTTTATTTAGTTCTCGTTGCAAAAAGAAAAAGGATGTGAGAGATGTGATAATAATTTGTAAATACCAAAAAAACTTTAATATGGGTAAACTCCAAAAAATTTTATTAGTTTAATACATTTCTTGGCATATGAGAATGAATTGCAAATGACTTGTAATAAAAACTGGAGTGGTACTACGCTCTTGTGTAAATTTATTAATTAATTGAGACAATTTTTTTAAAACTAAATGCTAAAAAAAATATAGCTTTATTTAAAACTATTGACGATTATTTTGGGCTGCAACAACAAAATATTATTTTGTTTTACTTAGGAATATAATAACTGATAATATGCTAAACACACTACATGTTTAACTTTACGCCAATTATTTTAAATAAAAATAATATAAAACATGGATTTTAAATCAATTAACTGCAGTAAAATAAATTTTAAAATTGAAGAAAAGAAAAAAAAATTGAGAAGACAAAATGACGTGAGATGTAATGCTTAAGGATAACCTTCAAAATTGGCTTGGCAAGAAAGGTACCTAAGTCGCATCTCGACTGCCTTTCTTGCTTCTTTGTTCTTTCTTTTTCAGTTTCATCCTTCGTCCGTTTCGTTGCCATTGATTCATGTCAGGTGGATAAGAAAAATAAAATAATCTGCCTTTTTTCCTTTCAGATTTTTTTGTTTTTCTCTTATGTTTCTTCTCCTTGCTCTTTCTTTCCCACCGCTGGTGGTGAAATCTAAATAGCTCCAACCCGAACTGTTCCTTGTAAAGCATGCCAATCGGGGTTTAACCCTGATGCCCAAGTCAATAACTCGGCCTAAATGGTTAATTGCGGTTCAACTCCTCAAGTAGTCTGAACATAAAAAATGAGTCGTCGTATTTTTTGGTCGTCAGCCAGACCGGTCTAAGTTTGAAAACGTTTTACCTATTGTAAACTACAGGTTTAACTGCAGAAATTACAGGACATACCAAGTTTAATTACTTTTCAATTTTACCCTTATTTACTATATAAACTTTTCAAGAAAAATAACAATTTGCAAAACAATAATTTTGGTAAAATTATACATTCATATAATAAATTTAATGAGGTGACGTGTATTGACAACAACAAAAAAACTCTTATTGTTGTGAACTGAAGAGAGTATTCATCATTATTTTTAACTAACATTAACGGATTCATTAACTCAAGCAATGTGGTTAGTATTCATCATTATTTTTAACTAACATTAACGGATTCATTAACTCAAGCAATGTGGTTAATTGGATCTCCTAAAAAAAGACAGAATGCTTGTAGTAGATTATAAGAGCCCTTCAACCTTCCCGCAAATCCCTCCCAACCTAACATCTTTCTTTGCCGAGTGGTTGCACCATTTAATTACATGCATTTATTTTATGTCTTCAAGATGATTTCAGCACTAATCTTCACCACTGCTTGCATCATGTACACACAGCATAATTAATGAAACCTCACCAATTTTTTCTTGATTTCAGAAAAAGGGATCAACGTGTTTTACTCTTAAAAATATTATAAATTACGCTAAGTTTTATTGAAAATTTCGTTTGCACACTTTTTCAAGTTGCATTTCCTTGTTGGTTTCCTATGTGCATGTCAAGAATTAAGAATTAAAAACATATTTATTTTGTGAAAAACAATACGTAGTTAACTAAACATGAATATGTGCATTGCTAGATATAATATATAATATTATATCAAGTCGTTTGATTGTATTTCTTGTTAATAGAAGTCGTCGGTGGAATAAAATAAGGAGGAAATGGCTCAAAAAACGTAGTTTGAAAATATCAAAGGACGAAAAGGGAAGCCAAGACTTGTAAATGAAAAAGGGAAGAAAAACTTAAAACGAGATTTTTAAATAGAAGTTTTTTGACAGAAATGCTCCTCATATTAAAAAAGGAAAAGGTTTTCAACTTCCTAGCCAAAAGACCCCGCCAACACTCCAGCGTCTATCACCAGGAGGAGAGTTTTTTTTGGTAACAAAGGAGAAATTTTTTTGGGAAAGCAGTGGAGGTGGAATTTGACCCACCGCCACTTGGTGATTTGTATCAAAATTAATGATGGCCATTGAGTCCCCAATGCTTTGTTGTCAACGTTATACAATATATATGTGCGTGTAATATATATAACTGAGTTACTTAGCCTTAATTACTAGTCATTCACAACTTTTATATAGATATTGACTATATTTCAATATGTATTAACAACTTTCATTTAGCAAGTAACAAGACCTCTAATTCAAATCATTAGTAATTTTTATATGGATATTGACTATTAACAACATTTGTTTAGCCAATTTTTATATGGGTATTGCCCCTCTAGTTCGGTT